TTCCTACAAAAGATTTTTTTGCTTTAATGGCTTCATTGGTTGCCCATTAAGACTCTCCTAAGTTTTCGACTTCGACGGAGTTGTGCTAAAGTGGTGGGGGCCCCTGAAAGGGGCGTTTTTTCGGTTTTCCGGTTATACCGCGTAAAGGACTTACCCTATCAAAAAGTGGTCTTCATGACGGTTAAAGGGCACTTAATCCTGCATTGAATAAGACCAAATTCATATGTTTTGGACAAACCGTTCTCGCGCTAAAGTTCGTCAAAATAGAAAATATACGTATAATTAATGACCCTCTCCACGTCCAATGGCTTGTTACCCACATGCTTCCAAGCCTTGTAAAAGGTCGCCTTAACCAGTGTAACCCTAACAAGGCTCACGAGTTTGATTCGCTTATCCTCGTTCGTCCCAGCCGTTCCTTAACTGCGGTTGCTGCACCTCTTCCTGGCACTCTCCTGAACGACTCTGTGTTACCTAATGTGGCTGCCCCTCTTCCTTGTACCCTCCTGTACGATTTCATTGCTTAGCCATATGCCTGGTCCAAGGTTCGACGCCACAAAATCAACTTCGTACGAGTGAAAATAGTTTAAATACTATTTCCCGTGCTTGCAACATTTTTCTTTACTGCTTCGCCTCTATTAGTCGTAGAGTGATTGTATATATCCTATAGCCTTCCTCAATGTATGAGCTATTCAACACAAAAATAATGATTTCAATCAAACTAGTAATTCTTAAGATTAGCGCGTTCAAACAAACAAACAAAAAACTCTTCAGCGTTTTAATATGAACTTGTTGTTGTTGATTTTTGGCGTCGAACCTTAGACCAGGCATACGGCTAGGCAACGTAGTCATGCAGGAGGATACAAGGAAGAGGGGCAGCCACAGTAGGTAACACAGAGTCGTTCAGGTGAGTGCCAGGAAGAGGTGCAGCAACCGCAGTTAAGGAACGGCTGGGACGAACAAAGATAGGCGCATCAAGCTCGTAAGCCTTGATAGGGTTACAATGGTTGAGGTGGCCCTTTTCAAGAATTGGAAGCCTGTCGGTAACAAACCATTGGACGTGGAGAGGGTCATTAATTATACGTATATTTTCTACTTTGCCGAACTTTAGCGCGAGAACGGTTTGTCCAAAACATATGAATTTGGTCTTATTCAATGCAGGATTAAGTGCCCTTCAACCGTCATGAAGACCATTTTTTGATAGGGTAAGTCCTTTACGCGGTATAACCAGAAAACCGAAAAATTGCCTCTTTCGGGGGCCCCCACCACTTAAGCACAACTCCGTCGAAGTCGAAAACTTAGGAGAGTCTTAATGGGCAACCAATAAAGCCATTAAAACAATAAAATCTTTTGTAGGAATTATTTCCGATTTAAAAGCTAATTCTACTGGACTAAAAAAGAACTACCGGTCAATTACCGATGTCAAGACAATTTAAATAAAGTTTGAAAGCAGGTGTAATCATCCATTACAGCATCTATCATTTCACTAATATAAAGCTGTGAACCGGCAAGCAGCTAAATTAAATCGCTATTAGCGGAGTATCAACCGTTATGCAGCGATAAGCTGTAAGTGTGGTCACGATGAAAACATTAAAGGTACCGTGCTAGGGCACAGAGTAAAGGTAGGGTTAAAACGCTAAATAACGGCCATTGAAGGCGGCGGCTCAAGGGCGAGATAGACGTGAGATAACGTGGTAATGATGCCTCTGGTAGGGCTACCAGGCCAAACGGTAAGCTGGCTTAACTAGACACTGGTTCTATTGAAGTCATGAGAGTTGCCCAATTTAAGCCAATGGTGTTACAAGGTCTTTTGTAGACAATGAAACCTGTCTTTGAATATGAATGAAGCTTGAATGATACGGGCAGATTGGACAGACTCATTTGAATACCATAAGCCGCCTACGCTGGTGACAGGGTTCATTTCATCTCCTCACGTATAACGAAATCACTTCATCTTTTCACCACCCACTACAGAGTTCCTCGTCCCCAATTCTTTTTACAATTATTTTTGAGGCGTGCGACTAGTAAAAAAAATAATAAAAAAATATTTCGTTGTTAATATATCAATAAGCCAGTTTTGTTAATTCTAATAAATGTAATTCATTATGCGACATGTTCACTAACTGAACAAGCTCGTAAAATTATGATTTAAAAAATATTTTAGTTGCAACTTTGCCTCGGGATTTAAGTTGTAAAACTGTCACTGAAATTGCCGATCCCAATAAGTATTACCTGCCTGTAATTTTACCTATGTTGTTACAATACTCAGTCGGGTGTATTTGAGAGAATTTTAACCGACTTTTTGACTCAAAAACAGCACTGTTTATGTCAGTTTTATAATGCGAAGAAAAGACAAAAACACAGCGGTGATCCTTTACTTTTATCCACTGAAGTGGGATTACAATACAGCTAAATACAGCCCTACCCGTTAGCATCACAATGTTCGCGATCGAACTGTAACGAGCGGGATAACTTCCATCGAATATAGCGAACTATACCAGGCAGTGTGATGAATAAAGTTATTGAACCTGGCCGTCATAGGAACAACTTGTTACTTGTTGTTCTTGCACGAAACAAGTCTATTTTGTGCTATGGCAACCCTAACCTTTTGGTATTTGCAACCCCAGATTTGTGGAGTTCGTGAAACAATAATGACACAGTACAAATTGTAGTCGCTTAAACCAACTTTAAGATTAACGCCAGACTAATTAGATTAGTCTAAGATCTGGTTGCGATTAAGTCGCATCGAATGCGAAACTTGGAGGTAGTGAAACAATCACTCATGAATCGAAATCGAATGTTACATTGTTTGTATCCAGACACAGGACTAAGTAATGCATTTCCTTTAATCAACCCCTATCCAAATCTGTCCGTCAACTCTCAAATTCAAATCTGTTTTCGATCAAATATCCACAATTTTCGATTCCATTACACTTTGTCATAATATCGAAAACCGAGGATATTTTGACCGAAAACAAATTTGACAGTTGATGGACGGATTTGGATTAAGATTGATTATAGAAAACAGGAATAAAAGATATCAAATACTACTTCAGTACTTATTGTTTTTCGTTATTTTTCTAGCATTGGAAGCTCATAACTCAATTGTTTGTAATTGATTGATAGATTTTGACGTGTAGTACACGTAAATAATTTCAGTGTAGAGTCAAGCTCTTTATTTTTTGAGTCCTATTTTGTAACTGTACGTACAGTTGATTACATCCTCTATCAGCAAGATACTGTAAAAACTGATATGTATAAACACATGCAATTTCCCATTGTCTACGTTTGGGGCCGACAAGAGACTACATGTATCTATTGTCCGTTGTAATTACACAGATAAGATACGACCAAAAAGTTGCCATCATCACGTATAATGTGAAGCCGAACGTTTTCTAAAATGGTCAATTTGGGTTCAGTCAACTTTACAAATGCCAGGCGGTAATAACCCTTAAACGTTGAAGTTTAGGGCGTGAATAATTGGCTTTATGGTCTCTGTAGATGACCCCTTTTGAGTCTTATCTCTATTGACATAAGGTGACAATGTGGAGCAGTTTCTTAGGCAAGATAGTCGATTGTACAAACAAACGAAATGCACGCGAGTAAACTGTGTACACCGACACAATTTTTTCACGGCGCCGCATAACGTGTACTTATGTAATCTTATACAATTTAACACATACGCACAACTGGTATTAACCGCGTGGGATTCAATGGGCTAGCAAAGTGCTCGTTACGATCGGTCCCACAACCTGTCAGTTTGAATTAGATGCACTACTTCATATGCCACGGGTATCAACATGCGAGAAATTGTAACGGAAATTATGCACTTCAGATAACATTGTTCGGTGCGGCATATAACTATGACCCTAATTGATACGATGTTTCTGTCTATCTTCTGTCTGTCTGTTAATAAATTTGACATTTGGAACCACAACAGTCTATACTGTAAATGTTCGGTTTCAGACTCCCCGCAGATTTCAGACTTTCAGTCGGCCGACAGTTTGGTCAGTTTTTAATTTGTACGAGAAATAGATCGATACCAAATCGATGTAATGTGCGCACTTCCATACATGTTCATATTGATTAAGAGCTCTATCAAACTATCGGTCAGCATACAGTCTGTAGTTTGCGGGGTGTTTTTAAGTAAGAAAAAGTTCTAATCCTCTATTAGGCTTATAAAATATGTCATGGGGCCTTAAAAATATGCTAAACCCTTATAACTGTCACAATGGGGGTCCAGTGTATGGGTGCCACAGTCATGTCAACTGTGTAAGTCCATATTACATTTGCGACTATAGATTTTGTAGAAATATCAAACTAACCTGCAAAGGCGTGAACGCCACCGAAGACGCGGTACCCGACACCTGCCTCCTAATACTGGTGGCGCCCCCATACTGCTGCTGCTTCTGCAGATTCTTCTGGAGAGTCTTGCTGATCCGCACTTTGGTCTTCTACCAACTGCATAATCTAAATCTAAACAATCGAATACCAACCTGCAAAGGCGTGAACGCCACCGACGACGCGGTACCCGACACCTGCCTCCTAATACTGGTGGCGCCCTCATACTGCTGCTGCTTCTGCAGATTCTTCTGGAGTCTTGCTGATCCGCACTTTGGTCTTCTACCAACTACATAATGTAAATCGAAATAGTGGAATACTAACCTGCAAAGGGGTGAACGCCACCGAAGACGCGGTCCCCGACACCTGCCGCCTAATATTGGAGGCGCCCCCATACTGCTGCTGCTTCTGCAGATTCTTCTGGAGTCTTGCTGATCCGCACTTTGGTCTTCTACCAACTACATAATCTAAATCGAAATAGTGGAATACTAACCAGCAAAGGCGTGAACGCCACCGAAGACGCGGTGCCCGACACCTGTCTCCTAATACTGGTGGCGCCCCCATACTGCTGCTGCTTCTGCAGATTCTTCTGGAGTCTTGCTGATCCGCACTTTGGTCTTCTACCAACTACATAATCTAAATCGAAATAGTGGAATACTAACCTGCAAAGGCGTGAACGCCACCGAAGACGCGGTACCCGACACCTGCCGCCTAATACTGGTGGCGCCCCCATACTGCTGCTGCTTCTGCAGATTCTTCTGAAGGGTCTTGCTGATCCGCACTTTGGTCTTCTCGTCTATTTGCGGCAGGCGCACGCGGCCGGTGCTCGACTTGCCGATGGTTCCGCGCGTGTAGCCCAGGTCTTCTTGGTACGCGTCGTCTTCAATCTGTGTAAGGAAATTTAATATTTATGAAAATAAGGAATACATAATAGGCACAGCACCTTAAAAGGTTTCTGCGGCAGTAGAGCAACGCTGGAGGGATGGCACATGATAAGACAGAGATGCTGCTACAGTATTCACGAGTGAAGCACATCTGGGGTCGCTAACGTTTGACGTAACAAAAACACACTCTCCTAGCTTTAGGGTCTCTACACAAACACAGCTTTTAACGTGCCGGCGGTGTTAGGATTTTATTTTTTTGTGTATCGCATACTTATGTAAAACTTCAAACGCGCACATCGACGCCGCGCTTAGAAAAACGTCGTGTGCATAGGCCCTTAGACCCCTTGATTCAAAACATGTTGAATTCTAAATTTTATATTTAATTTTAGTTTTGTTGTACTAGGTTTATTATAGGTTTACTATTTTAGTAAGATTTCGTGCTTGTCAGCACAGGTCGCTTGATTAATTTGGCTAATATTATAACAAGTACCTAATTCATTAATATTCGTTAATAACAAACATTTTTCAATCAACGTGACCAAAACTACAACAATACTTAGATACTTCCTCGTGTGTTTAAACGGACACATTAGTGTACTATAATTAACCGTCAACATATGATTTACAACCTTACTATGTTTGTACTTCGGTTATGTTTTGGTTCCTCGTGGCCTCATTCATCACAACACGAAAATATTCAATACTCATTCATTTATTGCTTTACCAAATTAGGACACATTCAAATTAGGTCTTACAATTCAGACAGTTTTACAATATGGACCCAGTTAGGGCACAGGAACATTGGAAGGAGGTTTAAGGAAATATTGGGTAAGTATTTCCCTATGCATTTTTTCGGGAACAAAAAAATAATAATCAAAAAACAAAATTCAACCACGCAAAGCGGCGGATCGAGCATATTATATCAATCAAATAGACCTAGTTAAAAAGAAAAGTTAGCAACAAACGATTAATTATATTAACGCACAGTCAATAACGAATTATGAAGACGTTATATTAGTGTAACAGGTAATGAGAATCTTTACATTAAACAAAATGGTTCGTGAGATGAAGAGGTAAACTATTATTTTTCCGCATCTGGGATTAAGTATAACAAGATGGTTTATGTGTTTGATTAACCCATTAACGCCCTCTGTACACACGTGTGTACACTTCTTTAAAATTTATTTCTGAACGCAACTTCTAATGTTAAGTCAAATTACTTGATAAAACCTAATCTAGATGTCGATACAAGGTAAGAAATATAAAAAAGTTGGAGGGTGGTGCAAAACTAAATGTCTAATTAACATTTTTTTCCGACCTTTTCTCAAAGTGACTGGCGCCGGTTGTGAAATAATACTGATATAATATATTTTAGCTATAATTTGATTCAACTCTACGTTTCAAGGTAAGTTTACATTGTAAACTATTATTATAAGCTAAAAAAATAATAAATATATACATATAACATACCAAAAATTGTTCAAGAATGTTGGTGTACACGCTTGTGTACAGTGGGTAAATGTATACTAAGAAAAACATTTTTTTCAAGACCTGGTTGATAATTGAAGATGTCACATTGATAACGTTTATCATCTCAAAACGAGTTTCAAGACTAGAGGAAGCCTTCGAATCCATTATGGCAGCTGAAGATGACGATACAGAGCTCAAATTGATCATCGTACCACCTGATCCTGCTGTTGTTAGTGATGAAGAAGAAGGTGCATAAGATGATTTGACTTCCTCGGTACTTTGAGATATACCAGGTACTATCGAGCTATTACGCCACCAACCTTCAGATGGAAGAGCCGGAGTGGGTCAGTAGCGATGAAGAAACTCTTTCAAGCCTTGGTCCGGCTCAAAAACGTGCTCGTAACGAAGTTGCTGAAAATCCTACTTGGAGAAAAATATCACCCATTTTTCTACTGCTCATGAAATCACTCAAACTAGTGGATATGGCGGTCTCAAATGCATGGCGCTTATATGTACTTACCGTGTAAACCAAAAACACAACGTACTTGGATCAATTGGCTTTTAGGTGATCTATTGCCAGATCGTATTTACCCAATAATAAAACGAAGACGCGGCCATCATCGTCAACATCATATTTACAGTCAAGCAATGGAGGGCATAACGGTATTGTAAACCCTCTTAGGTGTGTTATTTGCCATAGTATAGCGTTGGCGTTGCTCTAAATGCATGAAAACGCTTTGCGTAGAGCGACCTTGCTTCGGGAAATTTCTCACCTGATCCGCCCATTGTACACACCTGTGTACTAGAGGTGGGCGCCACGCCGGCGCGCCGCCGCCGCCGCGAATTTTTTCACGCCGCCGCCGCCGACGACCAGCTGTCGGCGCGCCGATACTGATAATGTACAATTAGAAATTTATTCCTCTCCAATACTGTACTAATTAGTGTTTCAAACGCAGAAGAACTATTTTTTTATTGACTTGAGCGGCTATTCTAGTTCAATAAAGTCCTATCCTAGTATCACTGCGACCGGTACCGATCTAATGTGATCGCCGCTATTTTTCTTACAGTTCGCCTCCGAGTCCTGCATCCATTAGGAATTGCAGTATCTTTGCTCGTGTAAGCTCCGCTTGCGCATCAAAGGCCGCAGTCCGTGAGAATGTGTAGTGGCGTTTCATCTGCCTCTTGGCACATCCTGCACGTTCTTGATTCGGACAGTCCCATAGTGGACAAGTGCTTGTCCAGTGAAGGCTCGAACTAAGATGCGCATTTTGATCCTACTCAGTCCTATGATCTGCTTAGAGCATTTTCGGTCATAGGCTTTTATAAGAGCTTTGGTGTCTGACCATGCCTTAAAGGATTTGTTTAAATAGATGTTCTCCAGGGTCATTCGAGCGAGACTTTTGGGAAAGCCACAAAAGGGTTCTGGACCATATTGTGTTCCCTCCGCTCCCGCTCTGGCCAGTTCGTCGGCATTTTCATTGTCCACGATTCCAGCGTGACCTGGAACCCATCTCAACGTTACTCTGTTACGTTTTCTTATGGTATTCAGTCGAATCATGCAGTTTTCTACCAACTTTGAGGTGATTAAGTTGGGAGTTTGAGGCCATCAGCGCGGCCTGACTGTCTGAGTTAATGTAAATTATGTGGTTGGCATAATTTTTCGCAGGTTAGCTTCCGCACATTCAATAATGGCGTAGACTTCTCAAAGATAGAGGCAAATTTACCCAGGCTTTGAGATAGCCTAAGCTTCGGTTGCTCTCCAAACACGCCAAAGCCTACGTTAGGGCCCATTTTTGACCCATCAGTAAACCATATATCAGAAGAACTTACTATAATATTTATTATTTAATGCCATATAAATTGGTACACAAGGCGAACTTAATGCCGTTGATATACTAATAATTGATTGAATAACTTAATACTAACTATATTAACAGTTAATCAAGTACATTATTCAAGTTACTGCTTAGTCTAGTAAATAATTGATCACGAGAGGCGCCAGTCCCTCTTGCTGTCACGAAAAAAATCCCCGCCTTCGTCTGGCAGATAACCCACACTATTGGACTATACTTTAAGCGAATCACTCACACTGAGATTGGCAAATATGTCTCGGAATGCAAATGGGAACCACAACCTCTGGAAGGCAACAAAGTACCTCCCTTAAAGTGTTCTCCACTTATTAGGTCCGGTAATACATGAGTGCGAACTGATAAAAAAAATCTCAGACCTTTGCTACATGACAAGCCGGTTTATTTAAACCCATTGACACGGATAATCCAAAAAATCCACAATTCAATAAAAAAAATAAGATCAAGCATTGGACTTGATCCGAGACTTGCAGCTATGCCTGCCTTTGATTCCTACTGATGATGATGATTCATCCGACCGATTTCGGTCATGGTGGTGACCACTTCAACTTAGCTGTCTTAGCGGCGCTGATGCGCCCAAAGATGGCTTATATAGCCGATCTTCGCGGCAAACTCCTCGTACATTGAGAGTAATTACCTGCCGCCAACATAATTATAGTGAATGGCGGCAGATGGACGGGATTTACATCATCGCGTTTTGCGTCGAGTTCAGTTGTGCGCTGCTCGTTGAATTCGCGGACTCGCCTATACACAATACAATCTCCCGCCATTCTAGGTGCTGTGCTGCCAAACCTTCCCATTGTGATTTGAGAGGGCTCATTTTGCATTTTTTCGTATGCTGCTTCTGGATATCTTTGTACTTGACTATCTGAGGAGTTGACCGCCATGTTTCCGCTTACCCTCCTCAAGTTCAAAGTAGAAGATTGATTCCTACTACGCTAATTGAAGACGAAAGACGCAGGAGGACAAAGTGACTGACATAGCCCACAGAATCGCTAAAATCAAGTGGCAGTGGGCGGGGCACATATCTCGTAGAGCTGATGGTCGCTGGGGCAGGAAAGTTTTTGAGTGGCGACCACGAGCCGGAAGACGTAGCGTGGGCAGGCCACCCACTAGGTGGACCGACGATTTGGGGAAGGTCGCAGGAAGTGCCTGGATGCGAGCGGCGCAGGACGTCTTTCGGCTGAAATGAAAGAACTAACGCTAAGAGAGATGGCTAAGTTAAAGAAATAGCCAAAATGGACCCTCGTAAAGCACTTGCATTTGATCTGATCACCATGAAGTCCATGGTCTTGACAATGACCACACTGAGTGAGAAGAACCTCGCAAGTGTCTTAACTTTGGAAATGATCCATAAGGCTGGCAAGTCGCCTAACGAATTCTCTTATCGCTCAATTAATCTGACATTTGTATTGTTAAAATTATGGAAAAGGATCATTCTTGCTCGTTTATTCCCTTGTCTTAGTATGACCCATGTAATATAGTATACCCGACCATTTTGGCAGAAACCATACCAACCATAATCAGTACAATGTTTGGAAAAGAAAGAATCCTGTACGTCTGCTTTCGCTGCGGCTTCAGCTGGATTTATAATAAAGGACTACTCTATGAAATTAAAAAGTACCTTCTAGCACACTTCTACTACCTGCTGATGAATTCTTATCTCAGTGACAGGCAGTTTTAAATCAAACTGTGACAAAATCTTTTCTTTTTAGCTGCAGAGCTGGAGTACCCCAGGACTTGGCCCGATACTCTATAACATCTACTAGTAAAGTAGCCCAGACACCAGAAAGCTGCGGCATTCCTCAAATGTAACTGTGATCTTAAAGTGACTAGACTGTTGCAATGTCAGCTGCTTGGCTGACCAAGTGGCGCATGTAATTAAGCCCCGAAGTCTCACCATATTATCATTTAAACTTATCCTCCGGCCAATCTAGACCTCGACACATTGCTGCAATCAACCTGCATTAAAATCCTGAACCGTAGGATGACATGTAAAGACCATAAATATTAATAAAACAGAACTGAATATAATATTCCACTGACAGTCAGCTAATCCAACATTAACTATGTGCCTCCAAAGAGCTCAAAAATACATGTTAAGGGTACTTTTATCGGCACATTGGTACGCTCGCCTTAAGGACACGAGAACCTGATCTCAGCCAAACCTATGATCAAGAGAGTTAATTTACTAGGGTAAACCAACTGCTTTAGTGGCTCAAACCCCAACCAACTGCAAATCACCTGAGTAGTCTTGACGACAGATACTAAAAAAGCAGATTTAAAAAAAAATACCTAATGAACAAAGGTCAAAGAAGGTCACGCCGCCGACGCCGCCGCCGCCGAGGTCAAAAAGTCGGCGCGCCGCCGCCGGCCAATTTTATATCGGCGCCCACCTCTACTGTGTACAGGGTTTTTTTTTCAATGTTTTTAATTTTTTTTAAATATTTTTTTGTGTTTATAGATTACTTGTAATCCATTCAGTAGCCATAATAACATTTTTTATGAAAATATATCGTGGTTTCACTATGGGCGTTAATGGGTTAACATTTCGAATATCTGCCGATTAACTACGCTGGCACTGGATTCAATTTGCGGCGTTGTTGTTAAAGAAAACATACGGGCGGATTTTGTGGCGAGCATGCTCGAAATCATTTATTTTTTGACTTTGGTATTTATAGGAACAGTAACACAATGCACATTTAGCACAGGATTAATGTAAAGGAGTAGTTCCTTAATCCTTATTTAGTTACCTAATCGCTGCTAATTTGTTTATTTCATCAAATCACTAATGAATGCTAAATGAATATATTTTTTTACTTTATAAAAATGATTTTGTCCTTTATCCCTGATTTCCTAAATATTTTAATGGATTTAGCATTTTTAGTAATGGGATTGAATGGGTTTGGCATTTCTTTTCATTTTTGTAATTAAATTAAATAGAAAAAAAAATTAGTTAGTATTCGGAAATTTTGGAGACCCAAGTTTCAACTAGAACAGTTTATTGTGCCTAATTTGTATTTGAATCGCTCTATTTACCCAAAAATACAAAAAAGTCCAAGGATATTTATTTTTATTTACCTCAGTTACGCACTGCACCCTATCTCCCTAACTCATTTTACGAGTTGCTCGCTCAATTCATCGGCCGTGTGTCGCCAGCTCAGCGTAATCCGCACGCGTCCAACGGGGCCGGCACGGACGTCCGCGGGTCGAGTTCCGGTCTATTTGAACGAACGAAAAAACCGCGCGCCACTTATTCTGGCGAGCGATTTGAAAATAATCGCATCGCATCTGCCGTTGCTAGGGTTGGTAGAGAAAAGGAGTTAGCGTATTTTTTGGCATTAAAATTTGTCGAATCTGAGGAATCTGCTAGAGATTTTGACGATATTTATATTGAAAGGTGTACTCTAAATTAGTTTCACTACAACATTCTCATGTATGTATGTTTGTATTTTAGGCATGTAATGTAGATATCTATCTAAATATTTATTTTTATAATAAGTAAGCTGGCGCAGCGACCCAAATTAAGTCTTGGCCACCGATAGTAAGATATTTAAAAAGCTATGATATATTTCAAAACCTCGATTTGTCAACGCATCGAAGTCTAAAACCAGCTTTAATGACCTATAAATAACATTTTTCTATCCAAAATTTCAGGATGCAAAAGAAGAACATTTGGTAACCCTAAAAACGGCGTATAGAAGATCACGTCACATTTATGGGATACCACCAATACAACGGGACAATTTTACATATTCATGTACCTTACCCACTTACAATAAAGTCCATTATCATATCAGTTATTGTGCGTATGTCGCACTGAAAATTGCGTTTATTACGCTGGTTCAGGGAATTTGATTTGAAAGTGGACTGTATAGGTTTTTTATAATAGAAAATTGATGAAAGGTAGATCAGTCCTCGCAACACAGAGACAGGTAATCTGAGCTTCACCAACCTTAATATCNTCTGGGCCCAACACACAAGTAACAAGGCTAAAAATTGCGGTTGAAGTCTGCATTAATCTATGTAAATCCCTTATAAAAACAGTAGAGGGATCGAAAAATATAACAATATGGTAGGAATATGGAGTACCCGTCCGGCAGACGACTGCTAGTTGTATATCCCAATGTATAGTTCAATCTAAATCAGTCTATTTATTCCTGAAAATGAAAAAGATTAGGTTTAAAAATTGTACTTGTATTTAAGTTCTAAAACTAATCTCAATAGGGCAAATTATGAAATAGCAATTACATTTTTAGAAAATAGGGTGTACAAGAAAACAATGTAGGGCTCTTAAGATTTAGAAAGATATCGCTAAAGTTTTTTTATTTCTAATTTAGATCGAGTTAGTTATGTAGCTGGAACAGCAGAGTTACTTCGAAATGCTGTTTGCGCAAGAATTCGTGTCGTTTCTACACATGAACTGTGTACATAGCTCCGGCGCTGACCAAGAAATAATTCTTGTCTGCGCTAGATACGACACGCGGCGAACACAAACTGTGTGACAAATGTTCGTAGCTAAAGTCCGGTCAAGTCAAGAAAAATCTCACTAAATCTCACGTAGGGGAGAGGGGGGGTCTCGACAATTATCACGTAATTAAATTTTCAGCAAGAAACAGGGTACAATTGCAAGAAAAGTGGGTTATTTTAAATTAAAAAATATACGTATATTTTTATTATGCGTAATGATAAATTATTATTTTTATTCTAAAGTTCTAAACCGTGTAAACAAGAAATAAGAAATTAGAAAAATTTTTTTTTTTAAATCTAATCGAAGCACAGATTTACATTTACATTGTAAATACGCATTTTAAGAAATCTCACGTGAGATTGTGAAGGGGGTGGGTCTGGAAAATCTCACCAAATCTCACCAAGGGGGGCGGGGGGGTTGAAAAATGGCCAAAATTGTCTCACGTAATTAATGGACGCCCCCTAATCTAGCACAATGAGTTACTAAGGACAATGGGTAGGTAAATGACCTGATGATGGTGACTCACTTGTGATGGTTGTGGTTGAGGTGGTTTCCAGTGGGCGAGGCGCGGCCCGAGTCGTGAGGCGACGAGCTCAGTTCCGAGTTCGAGCTACGAATGTCGCCTTCCATCTGAAATGTTTATAAATATTTAAATTAATACCGCATTAAACCTTGTAAGCGTGTATTTTCTGTTTATAAACCTCTTACATAATACTTGTCTGTATTTTCTTGTTCCCAACGAGTCACACCAAAATGAGTTAGTTACTTGTTGGGAAAAAAATCCCATCCAGTCACACCCCTACTCATTAAACCTGTATTTTCTTACTGTAAGCTTTAGATTACTTCATTATTTTGATTTTTATGTACATTGTATCTTTTTACTGAAAGCTCTTTTATCTTGATATTAAGGTATTTAATGTCTGTGATCAGTACCGACTTAGGCTAAGAACTCATGGCGCGATTTCCACCCGCGCCCGCGGCGGTTGCGGGTCCGCAGCTTCTGTAGAATGCAGATACTTATGTAAAAACTAATGCACAACTCACGACGCGGTTTTCGCCCGCAGCGGGCGCGGTTGTAATCGGGTCCCACGCGGGCGAAAACCGCCCGATCGACGGGCGACCATTTTGTACCACTGACTTAGCATCTGCTTAGTGCTTAGTGAGTTCTTAGAATAACCGGGCAAATAACCGCTCCCGTGAGTTTTGAAAATATGAAAAATTGCGCCTTGAGTTCTTAGCCTTAGGGTTACTCGTTTGGGTGTGACTAGTTGTAACAAGTATTTTAGCGGGGGCTCTTGACACTAGTGTCAAGCTCAACCGGCCGTTGATGTACGCACCTGTCCGGCCTTGATAGTGTTGTAGGCCATGAGCAGAAGAGTAACAGGGTTACTCGTTTGAGTGTGACTCATTGGGAACAATTATTTTAGCGGGGGCTCTTGACATTAGTGTCAAGCTCAAGCGGCCGTTGATATCGCACTTTTACTGTTATTATAATTACGGTTACATTATTTTTAGTCGGTGTCGTCTGTAAGGGATGCGCAATAAGCAAGGGCTTCCGCAGAAGACCAGCTTCGTGACTTGCCCTTTTGAGCATGTCACGATAAATGCTGAGATTTTTTCTCACCTTTACCTCTTTGTTTTAATAGCCTATGTATGTGTTTTTGTTGTTTTTTTTTTCTGTCTTGTTTCTTTTTTTATTGTGTCAATAAACCTATTATATTCTATTCGTGTCGTTTGGTGTAGTTGTTCAGAACGGACTACTATGCCGAAAGGTCCCGGGTTCGATTCCCGGCCGGGCAGAAATTGAAATGATGAATTTTAATTTCTGTGACGGGTCTGGGTGTGACTATGTATAATATGTATGTATTTAAAAAAAAGTATATAAGTAGTATATCCGTTAAGCTAGCACCCATAACACAAGCATTAAGTTGCTTACTTTGGGGCTAGCTGGCGCTGTGTGAAATTGTCCAAAGATTTATTTATTACTAGCTGACCCGGCGAACTTCGTACCGCCTTAGTGTAGAGATTTTCTTTATATTTTTTTCCGTAAAAACCTTGTACAGAGTATTAGAAAACTACAAAAAAAAATCAGCCAAATCGGTCAAGCCGTTTTCATGTTATGTCGTGACAACGGAAAACGGGTTTCATTTTTATATATATAGATTATTTATTTATTCTACCCACCTGTCCGGCCTTGATGGTGTTGTAGGCCATGAGCAGGATAAGCCACGTCCACACCACGTGCAGCAGCTGCAGCAGCACCAGCAGCGTGTTGAAGATGTAGTACGCCGGGAACATCGGCACCAGCTGCGGCGCGCGGATCAAAGTGCTGGAACCATAGTCATTGGGTTCAGATAATGTTTTGGTACCTTCACAGCTACCACGCTACGTCACCGTAGGGACTAAGTGCTGGGACTATAATGAGGCTCGATTTCCACCAGAGCGGAGAGGTGGAGGAGATATGTTTAAATAACAAGTCAGATTTACGAAATCTTCGGGTTTCATAGAGACCAGGCTTACCAGGCTCATCAGATTACGAGGATATGCTGGAGCTGGTACAGCGCCAAGAACAGTCGAGCGATAGTGATTGTGTTACGGAGATCTAAAAGCTACAAGCTTCTTCCCCTCTCGCTAATAGTTAGACGCAAACACAGCCAGCAGCGTGTTAAAGATGTAGTACGCCGGGAACATCGGCACCTAGAAGTGGTGTTTGGTGACTGTCACTTGGGGGTATAATTATGATAAAGCTACAAAAATGCTAGTTGCGAGCTCGAGCGCAAGTAACAGTGGTGGAACGTATACTGCTGGACACGTATCACATACCCCCTCACAAAAATTCCTACAACGACCAATTGTGCACTGTCTGCGTGCGCGAATAGTGCTGAAACAATAATAGTAATGTTACGCTGTGCTGTTAGTACACAGCAGCGTGTTGAAGATGTAGTACGCCGGGAACATCGGCACCAGCTGCGGCGCGCGGATCAACGTGCTGGAACGATAGTAACTGGGTTAAAATAATGTTTTGGTATAGTCTGGTCTTTAGTTCTCCTGCGGATCTCCTCATTTCTGATTCGATCACCGACATAGCTCGCAGAATTGCTAAAATCAAGTGGCAGTGGGCGGGGCACATAGCTCGTAGAGACGATGGCCGTTGGGGCAGGAAAGTTCTCGAGTGGCGACCACGGGCTGGAAGACGTAGCGTGGGCAGGCCTCCTACTAGGTGGACCGACGATCTGGTAAAGGTCGCGGGAAGAGCCTGGATGCGGGCAGCGCAGGACCGTTCATTATGGAAAACCTTGGGGGAGGCCTTTGTCCAGCAGTGGACGTCATTTGGCTGAAATGAAGGATAGTCTGGTCTGCGAGCACGTAGAATTTTGTCCAATGACCCCAAGCTACCCATCCTTATCGCTCGCGCGTAATTATATTGCTGTCGCGACTGTGCGACGGGCGCCCGCAGTGAGTGTGCGAGCCGTCGTCGACGGTGGTGTCCCAAGGCGAGTGTGTGAGCCGAGCGCCGCCGATGATGACGCTGTCGGCCCGAGGTGACGTTAGTCATCGTACGCCGCCCGCACGTTCCTCCCGCGCGTTGTTGGCTTCCCAACAACAGGTCTCTTATTAAATGCTAACACAGGGAACAAAGTGCTGGGACTACAACAAGACCGGGTTTCCACATCTTGGAGTTTTGGTGGAAAACGGGCATGTTTATCATACCCGGGTATATTATAGTCCAAGGTTACGAAGATATTTTGCTAGCTCCAGCGCGAGGGACAACGCTGGAATGATAGCGATGGTGTTAAGAGAATTCGTTTCAAACTAAAGCTAAACACTGCTGGACAAAGCCCCTCGCCATATTGTTAGAAGCAGACACAACAGCGTGTTGAAGATGTAATACGCCGGGAACATCGGCACCAGCTGCGGCGCGCGGATCAAAGTGCTGCGGCAATACAACAGAAAATCCATCATCATCATTAGGAATCGAGAAGTGGAATGTAGACAGCCCTTTTTGAAATTTTTATTTATGTTTTTATTAATTTTATCTCTTTTTTTAGCTTTAGAATAATAATATCAGTAAGTCCCGTTAACCCCACGTGGTAAGCTAAATATGCATGTGTTACGTGTGGCTTTAAAACAATAGTCCAGCGGCGCAACGGGTTTTGAACCAGCGTTCCTCAAATCTGACTCTTATATTCTGCTGTGTAACCTCCAAGGTTAGGCATATTACAGAGTGGAGGCGAGTGAAGCCATGGGCCCGTGTAAATCAAAATTTGTGTAGACATCAGGGATGTTATGGATATCCGTAACGGTAACCGAAACTTTCGGATATGCGAACTAAAAAAACATCCGTAACCGTAACCGGTATAATATTATTCCTATATCCGTAACCGTATCCATAACCGAAACTACATATCCATAACATCCCTGGTAGACATCAGTTGCGTTCAATACTCCCGCCGCACATCTTTATGTAGGGGGCGCGAGCGTGGTTGCCATGAACACTAAAAATTCGTTCAAACACTAGATGGCGCTCTGTGTAGATTAGATCGCGGTATTAAGTTACCTGCGGATGATGTAGAAGGGGAAGATGCCGACGCGCGTGGCAAGCCACGACACGATGAGCACGAGGAACAGCGCGTCGCACAGCTTCTGGTATTTCGCGTACTTGGCCGCCTTCACCGACTGCGGAAAGATAAACAAATATTGATGAATCACCTCACAACTAAACAAGTAACAAAAGAAGACCAGCTTCTTGACATGCCCTTACGAGCATGTCAAGATAAATGCTGAGCGGGAGTCTATTGGCCTAATTTAACGTTATACGTCTCAAGTGGCTCAGTAATTGTTTTTATTACTGTTGTGTTGTTGTTGTTGTTGTTTATTTTGACTAGTGTGTCAATAGATTTTTCTATTTCTATTTTATGAATACGCGCTGCGAAAACGCTGAATGTACGCTGCGTACGCAATAGTGTTACGCGAACAATAGGGATGTTTCCTGGGTAAAAAAGCAAGAGTTTTAATTAGTCCGTCTGTTAGCTTATCAAAAACTACTCGACACGTATTTTTCACTTTTTAAAACTAATGAAAATGTAAAGAGATAAAGCGTGTCATAGTTCTAAAGAAAAGGCCCGTGACGTCAGTGAGTGCGTAAAAGTGCAGCACTTTGTGACGCCGCGCGGAACTCCAACGCACTATAACTTTGTAATTATTTGGTTGATTGACAATTAAAAATATACGTGTCCAATATTTTTTTATACTAAAATTGACGGACTAAAAATTTTTTTTTAGGAAACTAGCCTATTGTAGAAACACATGTCTAAACAATCTGGGCGTATGAGCTTGTCCAGATGACCCGTTTTTACTCGCGTGATTGTGAGATACTTGAGGCTCATACACAGTGCCGTATTATCCATAAGGCACTTTAGGCCAGTGCCTGGGGGCCCACTATGACCAGGGGCCCAGCACTCCGGATTAAAAAATGAAAAAAAAAAAATATGTTAAAGATTATTTTTATGTAACAAAACTCAAACCACCTTAAAACTTCGTCTTATTACAAGCTTTTATGTACTTTCTTTTGGTTTACACATTCAATCGTCATAATTATATCGATATTGTGGAACCTAATTCATTTTCGTAACGTTGGCATTACTGCTTTGGTTTACATGACAGGTCGACCGTCGACACCCTTCAGAGGCTAAAAAGCCTCACTGCGGAGGCTAGGGAGAGGGGTGACTGAGGGTGTGTTGGCTTGGCTTTCAATGCCATCCCTCATTCCACCATACTCTAGGCACTTCAACATCACAGAGTGCCTCAGTGTCAGTAACTTCGAGCGCTGCTGGCCGATTACTTACGAAATCGCGAAGTCCTGTATGTTAACACAGACAGCCAGCTCTGACGGCGCGGCGTAGCCAGCGGGGTTCCGCAGGGTTCGGTGCTCGGTCCACTCTTCTTCTTCTTCCACTCAGTACACTCTCCCTAAGCTTCAACTGGCTCCTCCGGGGCGTCCTTCTCGCGGGCATGAGTTTCATATGCTATGCGGATGATACTCTGATCACTGCCTGGGGGAAGACATTTGGTGCCGCGGCACGGCTGGCGTCGGCGGGCGGCTCATTAGTCACTCGCAGAATACGACGCCTCGGCCTGAAAATCGTGCTGAAGAAGACTGAGGCCCTCTTCTTTTTGGGCCCTCTTGACGCCCACGTTGTGGTTGAGGACGTTAGGATTGACGTCAAAGATGAAATATCTGGGCCTCACGCTTGATGGGAGGTGGCATTTTAGCCCGCACTTCAACGGGCTAGCGCCACGCCTCCTCAAGGCAGCCGGCGCACTGAGTTGGCTCAAACGAGGTGTCGTTGACCTTATGCCGGCGTTCTGAGGAGCATGGCGCTGTATGGCGCCTCAATCTGGGCGGACACACTCAACAAGAGGGAGAATGCCGCCCTTCTGCGCATAGCGGGCCATAGGCCCATAGCGCAGAAAGTCGCAAGGGCCTACCGAACGGTAGGGCACGCTGCGGCGTGCGTCCTCGCTGGTACTCCTCATTGGGAGCTAGAAGCTGGATTCTTGTCTGTCATCTATCACTGCATGGCAGACCAGAAGGCGCGTGGCGTTCCGTCTGGCGCAGGTGCTGACCGGGCATGGCTGCTTCGGTTCGTACCTGCATAGCATCGGGCGGAGGAATCCCCGCTGTGCCACAAATGCGGCGCGGCGGATGACACGGTGCAGGCGGTGCAGCACACTCTCGCGGTCTGCACAAGCTGGGAGGAGTAGCGCCGTGTCCTCACTGCGGTCGTGGGCCGGGGTCTTTCGCTTCCGAGCCTGGTCAACGCCATGATGGGAAGTCCTTCAGAAAGAGGCAGCGGAGCGTGAGCGGAAGTACGATCCTCTTGCCTCATCGCTCCGCAGGCGGAGAAGGGGGTGGAGAAGGCGATTGTACGACCGTTCTACTCTCCCTCTAGGTGGCGGCCAGCAGGCCGGGGGTGCGGTGGCACCCTTGTCACCTCCGTCTGACGAGAATGGCTTGGCGTTTCGGGCCATTCCCGTCGGCCCCCCACAAGGTGGGCGTGTAGGGTCCGCCGTGTAGGCGAGCTGTCGCCGGTGGTGTAACAGAAGTCTAAGGCTACGGCCGGACACTTGCGACACCCCCACTTGGGCGATGACGGAACGCCGCGGAGGTTTTAGTGGGTATACCCCGTCCTTTTGAGTCCCAAACACCACCCTGTCCCCCAGCAGTGGTGGCGGTGCGCAAAGCATTTCTTCCGCGACAAAAAAAGGGGGGCCCGAAACGAGCTGTGCCTAGGGGCCCCGAGATGGTTAATCCGGCCCTGCTCATACATTCTGTCAACATGCACTTCCAAATCGCGCGAGTAAAACGCATCATTTTACTTGGATATATTTTGGTTACAAATTGCTAACATAGTAACCAACTTATGGGGAAACATAACAGAGCCACGTTCGTCATTTGTCTCGACCATGTGTAGAAAAAACCTACACAGTGTGGGTAATGGACGTACGGTCAAGTTTTGACCAACATCTGTCCAAGACCAACCCAGATGCATTGTCTCCAAAACTTCAACCTGGTTTAAATATATTCAACTGACAGCTCCGTCAATGGAATCTGCACGGTGCACCTTAATAAGCCTCACTATAAGCTTAACATACCTCAACAAATATATCCGGCAGGTCATGGCACCACAGCACCAAGGTCCCGATCCTGTGCAGGTTGCAGACCCAGCTGAAGGACAACAGCGCGATGGTGGCCACGTGGTGGACGAACATCTGCCAGAAGTCCTTGCGGCGGACGTCCCAGAACTGAGAGATCATCAGCGACCAGTAGAACGCTGAAGATATCGTGTAGTACCACCACACGTCGTTGGTTACGCCCTGGAAAGGACATTTTTGTTTATTACACAATAAAAAGCTATGTTGGGGCAGAGAAGTTCTGGAGTGGCGACCGCGGGCCGGAAGATGTAGCGTGGGCAGGCCTAACACTAGATGGACTGACGATCTGGTGTAAGTCGCGACCTTCCGACCTCTTCCCGCGGGAATAGCCTGAATGCGGGCAGCGCGGGACAGGTCGTTATGGAAATCCTTAGGGGAGGCCTTTGTCCAGCAGTGGACGTCATTTGGCTGAAACCAACGACACAATATCAAATATATTATTCAGTCCAGCCCTTTCCAGGGCACTTGTACTCGTCCCAAATATAGCTTGCCCTACCACCACTTCGGGACAACATGTGGGCTGGTGATGAGAAGAACTAGAAACACCAAGTTGCGTTTGCCCTCTAAATCGGTAGACTGATGATCTGGTGAATGCAAGCAGCGCAGGACCAGTCGTGGAAATCCTTAGAGGAGGGCCTTTATTCAGCAGTGGATGTCCTTTAGCTGAAAGGATTACAAGGCCTAGACCATTGGTTCCCAAACTTATTTGGGAAGCGTCCCCTTTCGACCATACAAAAAATTCCGCGCTACCCCTCCTCCAATCATGATTATTTATTGGTCGTATCGAGCAGTCTGGAATGCATTCTCTCAGCGGTCGCAGGTTTTTTATACTTAAGTACACAGATGGCCCCCGCCCCCCTTTAAAGGCTCTTACGCTTCCCCAGGGGGGCGCGCCCCCACTTTGGGATCCAATGGCTTAGACCTTCATCTACTAAACTCGATTCATACTCGTTATTCATACCTCGTAAACAGTCGCAGTAATGAAAGAGAAAGTCATATTCATAATACACAAAAAAACACAAAAATTTTCATTCGGCATTAATTGACCATCATAATCTTTATATTACTTTTATCAAGCTGATTATTAAGAAGAGCGAAAGCTTAAATTCTACTATCATACTATATTACTATCCAGCCAAATGCTTTGTTGGTAAAATTTTAAATTATGTAAACGATGTAAAAGTGCTATCTCAGATAGCATTTAGGTACAATTACTTGTCTTAAATAAAAATCATTACAAGATTATGTTAGTTTGAGCTAGTTCTAGGAAATATTGTTCAGATTAAGATATGCTTTCAAAAAATAGAAAGAAGGATTATTCAGACTGGCTGTCATCATCAGGTCAGGCAGTGGCGGCGTAGCATGGCTTGGCACCCGAGCGATCAAGTCTCTCTTTTATGATATCCACGGGGAGAGTTGGTTGTATAATATTATTATGCGGAAATAAATGATTTAACTATTTTGTTTGTGTTAGACAAGATGGATCACTGCAAATGACATTTCAGGAAAGGTTATCAGTGTCACACTGTATGTTGTATAAGATATATTTTTCATAATTTAATTAACTGAACTTCGAACTGTAATCACTTAGCGTTATCTTTTTCACACCAGGTGATAAGTAAAAAATGATGAACTAGAGGTGTTAACACAAAAAATATCGAAATATTTATACCATTGATAAAATAATCAGTTTGTTAAACAAACTTTGTTTACATATTCTACATAAAATAATACTATAGTCCGATTTTTAATTCGACGGAATTCTGACAGCTGTCATTTTTTGACAATTCACATGTAATAAGCCTTTTTTGCTTTGAATTATTAATAAATTCTGTTTTAACTTATCGTCATCCATCATTATATCTATCATCTTAGTATGTATTTATTTATTATATTATTTTATATATTATTTATGTATGTGTATATGTAGCTTATTTGTTTTGCCGTCGCTTTGTTTTATTTAATTTTCTTTTTGTTATACCGCCAAACTAATTTTTCTGCATAACCCAAAAGTAAACTGGATGAGAATGCCTTATGGCATTAAGTTCGCCTAATGTTAATATTTTTGGCATTGAAGTATAAATAAATAAAATAAATAAATAAATAAATAATATGAAATGAAATTTCAACAAGTACAACTTACAAGAATGAACTATTGTTTGTTTTGTGAATTCAATGTACAGTAATTATTATGTACATTTTAGTGATTAAATAGAAAAAAAACGTGTTTTTAACACAGTAAAACAACAAATTATCATAAACGAAAATATGTATTGATCATCAATCATCATTACCGTCATCATAATCAACTTGGATTATAAAATTGGCATCTTGTTAAATTGGTTATTTTATGAAGCTAAGATTTTATTAACAAAAGGATTTTCATAAAAAAAGGTTTGTAACAAATATGATATAAAAAATTCAAATAACCATTTTGAAATGATCAGTACATTTTTAAGCCTTAGTTTTTCAAGTGAAACCTTAAATTCAAGAAAGGATTATTTTTTAATTTGTGAAAATGCTCTCCATTCTTAGTGGGAATGTTTCAATGTTGGCCACACTTCTGAAATGTCAAAATTCCGTCGAATTAAAAATCAGAGTTTAGCTCAATCTAATACAATATTAATGTAAATGAAAGAGCAAGTATTGCACAAAATAGTGGAAAGTAATGATATTAATAAAGATATAGCAATTAAAATTGTGTTAATATAGCTCGTTAGACTTGAAAATAGATTTTAATGCTGAATTTTTACGATGTTGATGTTTTTATTAACAGACATAAGTTTAACTGTTTTGTTTTTTTAAGAGCGTGTGCTTTAATTTCGTACGATAAGACGTATTTAGCTTAGTACGAGGGGCTAACGGGAGTATTCATGATTTTGTAAAAAAATAAGAAATCTAAATATTATAACTCAAAGGTGATTGACTGACTGACATAGTGATCTATCAACGCGCAGCCCAAACCACTGGACGGATCGGGCTGAAATTTGGCATGCAGGTAGATGTTAAGAAATCCATCCGCTAAGAAAGTAAAATGGGATCCACGCGTACGAAGTCGCGGGCGGCCGCTAGTTACTAATAATATTGGGACAATATTATTCGATCCTCTAAAATCTAATTGATCTTTTTTGTATGTGCGGTTTTAAATATAAATGATGTATTTTATTATATTTTATCTTTATATTAATTATTGGGTCTATATTAGTTGATCTA